CAAGATTTAACAAAACAAAACTGTTCTTGTAATCACCACAGTAGGCAACCATCATCACATTCAATTTGCTGCCTAAAACAAATCAACCAAAAAAACCCAAAAACCACTCTGTGGCCATGTTACAGTATTTCCAAAAGATCTAGTTGAAAAAGTTAAAAACTACCAATTCAGTGCAAAAAAAGAAAAGGAGGAAGAATGAGAGAGGGCGAAAAAAGGAAAAGAAAACAAACACATGAAAATCCTAAGCAACCTGCTGACTGGTGACATTTGGACAATTTTGTCCCATTTTGTCCGTAAGGATTGTGCAATGTCAACACAAAAGACAATGTCACCAGAAAAGACAGGATCTGAGTGACGCGTTCAGGGCCCACTGCTTTTCCATTCCTTTGCTTCCCCTAGACACTAGAGAACAGACCCGAGATTGCTCAGCTGTACCAGAGAAAATGAAAGAAAGCAGGCTCATGACCATCTCCTGTAGACGTGGACGATATATTGTTTCAAGTAAGTCTTGCCAGCACCTCTAGAAAAAATGGTAGGTTTCTCAGGAATCGAGTAACTTAAGAAGAAGGAGAAGGGACAGAAACAACAAGGCAACGTTTGCATCCTCAGAGAGGCGGCGAGAGGAATATGGGCCCTAAAAAGGAAACCAGCGGACTATGCAGCCAAGAGGACAGGATCCCCAGGAGACCCTGTAGCTGCCACCCCAAGCCGCCAGCCAAGGCTGTATGGCGGCCGCGGTCCACTCCATCCCCAAATCCAGCACTCATCTAACTGCGCTGCAGACGAGGTGTTGCTCACATTTGATTGTTCACAGGAACAGTCAAGAGAAAGGTTAAAACTTTTTGGTTCTTTTTCTCCATTAACCTCTGCTCGCCGGCCCACACACCCAGTTCTTCCCTGGCGATGAGCCACATTCATGCACTTGGGGCGAAAGACACTTGTTACATCTCAGAATCAGTGTTTCATTACCTTCGTTTGATGAAAGAAAGAAAGGAAGGAAGGAAGGAAGGAAGGAAGGAAGAAAGAAAGAAAAAGAAAGAAAACATTTGCTGTATAAAGGCATCAGGGTGGAAACTCACAGCAAAGAAGGCAGAAAGACACCTACCAACGCTCCAGTCCATTTCTTCCACGGCGTCCCCGTAAGCTCCGTGTTTGCTTTTTCCGGCAAAGTCCTTGGAAGAGAACAGGGCCGTGTGCACGTGAAGGTACGACAGGACCAGCAGGAATGGCTTCTCAGCATTCCTGCGAGAGGAGAAGGTTCAGAGCAACGTAAGAACATTTGCCACATGCTCGTAAGGATCAAACTAGTACTCTATGATGCCATGTGAAAAGTCGGAAAGCACCACAAGATGATGTCTAATATTTTACACTTTTAAACATTTTTTTAAAGTGTATTTATTAATTTAGAGATAGAGAGCAGAGAAGGGGCAGAGAGAGAGGGAGAGAGAGAGAACCCCAAGCAGGCTCTGCATCACCAGCTCGGAGCCCCATGCAGGGCTTGATCCCACCAACCATGACATCATGACCTGAGCTGAAGTCAGATGCCTAACTGACTGAGCCACCCTGGCGCCCCTAATATTGTACGTTTTACTCAAAGAAGCAGAAGTCTCCACGGCGTGCCTGTGAAGAGACTGATGGTTACCCTGTGCAGATCAGCGGAAGGAAGTGCTATGTCCTTGAGGCATTCCCTGTCTAATGCCAATTCAACTCTGGATTCCGCCATATTGCTCACCTTCCACTATAGAACAGGTCTCCTGGAATGAACACTCCATTGTCAACACTAAAGTTTTGGAAATTATATGGAACATTCTAGGAACTGGCCCAAACCGATCAAGAGTCTCAAGTTACTGTGAAAGCAATTCTCTTCTTTTCTTTTCTTTTTGTGTGTGTGTGTGTGTGTTTATTTTTGAGAGAGAGAGAGAGAGAGAGAGAGGGAGGGAGAGAGAAAATGAGCAGGGGAGGAGCAGAGAGAGAGGGAGACGTAGAATCCAAAGCAGGCTCCAGGCTCTGAGCTGTCAGCATAGAGCCCAACACGGGGCTTGAACCCACAAACCGTGAGATGATGACCTGAGCCAAAGTCGGCTGCTTAACTGACTGAGCCCCTCAAGAACAACCTCCTCTGTGCAATCGGTGAGAACATACAGCTGCTCGAGACTTGTAAGTCACTGTCGATGTTTGGCCCTTGGGACAAATGCCACAAGGCTGGTGAGTGTGGACAGGTCTTGGGGGTCCCCGTGCGGGTCTGCTGAGAGGGGTCAAGAAGTCACACCACCTCCTGTTTACATCTCCTTCACCTCCTTCCACGCTGTGGAGGAAATGGACTGGAGCATTGGTAGGTGTCTTTCTGCCTCCGAGAAACGCCCTCAGTTGCCTCATTTTGGTTTTATGCAATCGGTTCAAATTCTACCTTCATCTAGGAAAGCGTCAGAAATTCCTTTCCAGCTAAAAGGGACTACTGAACAAGTGCCCTTTAGAAGGCTGTTGGGGCACAAATGGAGTGGATGAAGGAATAGATGGATGCCGAATGCAACTTGTACTAGAGCAGCTGGTGCACAAACCAAGAATCCCCTACGTGCTTTCCTTCCCCCACGAGACCACAAGCGGTGGCATGCCACGGACGTTCGTGTGCTGCAGGCACCAGCACAGCGGTTGGCGAATAGTGTAAGTTCACTAACCCTGTGTTAGCCAATCAAAGCCTGCACTAGCCCTCCTGGTTTCCTCGGGTCCACCCAGGACTTCCAGCACTGCAGGGATCCAGCAGTGCCACATGGTTTGTGTGCCAGGTGGTCGGTCTAGAGCAGGTACGATCATATATACCTATGTGGTATACATGCCTACATATGCAATACATGCATACCTGTTTTTATATGTGTGCCTATACGTATACACACACAGATACTATTCACCTATATATATTATTAGGAGGTGTGTTTACGTGTATGTATGCATATATACCTACACATGTATCAGTATAGGTGTGTATATATATGTATACATATACAGTTATGCATATATTATTAGTATACATACATATACACACACATACAAACTATATATACATTATTAGTATAGCTGTGGGTATATATATATACAGGTATATACACATACACATATACACCTATATATGTTATTACATAAGTATGTGTGTGCGTATATTATTACTATAGATAGTATATACATATACTCATATATACCTGTACATATATTATTAGTATAGGTGTATATACACACACACACACACACAAACCTATACATATATTATTAGTAAATGTGTGCGTATATATATGTACACATATACACCTATGTACATGTTATTAGTATAAGTAGAATATATATATGTACTCATACACCTATACATATATTAGTGTATATACATATATCTATGTATATACACACACACATACAAAAACCTATACATATATTATTAGTATAGGTGTGTGTGTATACATATATGTACATATATACACCTATGGATATTTATGCATATATTATTAGTATAGGTAGTATATATATGTGCTCATATACACCTGTACACATATTAGTATAGTTGTATATGTTATATATATATATATACACACAAAGCTATATATATATGTGTGTGTGTATATTAATACAGCTGTGTATGTATATATATATATATACACATACATATGTATATATATACAT